TCAGGCAGCACGATGCGGCTGTCCCACCCCACCCCATCCCATCCCAGGCAGGGTCTCCATCCCCAACCACATCAAGGGGGTGATTTATTTTTTTTTTATATATATTTTTTTAAATTTCCAAACAGAAGCACTGCTAGGGCTGCAAGACCCCCGCAGTCATTGGTCTCAACTCCCCGCTTAGCAGCGGCATCACCCACCCTGCTGGTGGGTCTGATCCAAAGGGTTTGGCAACCTGGGAGAGGAGCTGGGGATTGATCTGGAGACCACAGGGAGACCCTGGCAAATCCTCCCTGGGGTAACTCAGCCCCCATGGCTCTCCAAGGGAAGCAAAGGAGAACAAACGGATCGGCTCAGCCACTGCTCTGGCACCCAGCAAGGCAGGATCTGGACTGGTCACAGGCCAAATTGGGTTGAAGTTTAGATTTCAGAGTAACAACGTCTAGAACAGTTACTCTGCCACACAGGGACCATTGGTCCCGGTGCCAAACGACACCGCTGTCCCAAGGGAGAAAAGCCAAATAACGAAACCCAGACATCCCTGGGTCGCCTTGACCTCCCCGAGGCCAACCCACCTTACACTGATTTTTGCAGTGTTACTTCGCAGTAATGAAGTGGAAACTGCTTCCCTGTGGTGTGGCCTGTCTTCAGATCGTATCTACACCACAGCAGCCGCACGGTTGAGCAAATGGAAATGTGAGCTGCCTTCTTGCAACACCATCGCACAGAGATCTAGATGTAAAAACTTTTTCTCCCTTCGCTGGGGGTTTCCCGATGAGATGGTGTTTTCCACTGCATGATACGTTTCTTTGAGAAGCTTCCTGTGGTGCAAAGGAAGGTGGCTTGGACGAGAGGGTTGGATTTATCTTCTTTCCGCGTTTTGGAAAGGGGGGCAAGGCTGACGAGCACCCTGCTGGCTGACAGCCCCCACCGAGCTGGGGTTGCGTTTTGAGACGGATTGGGTTTTCCAAGGCATCTGCAACACTCGGCAGCATCATCACTGCCCGTAAAACCCCGCGGGTGGGGTGGGCAAAGCGTGGCCGCAGCCCCGGAGCTCGGTGACCAGCACCAGGCCCTGTGGGATGAGCAGGGACACGGCTTCCCACGCGGCTCCGAAGCTCTCTTCTGGCTGAAAATCCCCTCTCGTCCCCCTGCCTTCCCCTTCTCATCACCAGCCACCAAGTTTTCCATCGTGCAGTCTCCAGTCCAAAGGTTAAATGATTTTATCTACATGCAGAGCGCATGGAAGAAGCCAAAAGCCGAAATTCCTCCTTCCTCCTGCCTCCACCGGCCACAGGTCACCTTGAAGGCTCTGTGACAATGTTTACAGTGAGAGGAGCATCCGACACAGCGAGCGTCTTGTCATCAATAAGCGCTGATAGCGCACGCTACGACGATCAATCTGAGCTCAGCAAAACACCTACCCATGTCACGCTGTAGGGAAACAACGCTCGGTTCCTCAGAGGCTCCAGAAAAAGGATTTGCAAGGACTCGGAGTCAGCGCGTCTGGAAGGAAAAGTCCCTTGGGAGCCAGGCTGGGCTCACAGCAAGCTACAGGGAAGCTCAGAAAGAAGCGTGAGGAATCCCACTCTTAAGGTGGGGTTTTATGGGTTTTAGTGATAAAATTCAAGCCTATTAATCCACAGTACAAAGCCAGGTGCTCTCTGGCACACCTCACTCTGCTGCATCTGACCAGCTCCCAGGGTCAGAGGGTATCTGGTTCATGGGCACTGCCAGCCCCTTGTTGAGAGGGAGAGGAGCAGAGAGGCTGAAGCAGTTTGGGCACCAGGAGCTTCTCCGGAGGGCCGAGGGCAGCAGCAGAGCACAGAGCTCCCCATGGACCTGGTGCCTGCAGCCCTGCAAAACGGCACGGGGACAGCTCGAGCCCTGGTGCCAGGGACCTGCAGGGCTTTGGCTTCGCTCAGCAGCACAAGGGCCGTGAAGAGCAGCCATGAGAAAACCTCATTACTTGTATTGATCCATCGCCAAAGGAGTGCACGCAGAGCACTTAAAAATACAAATTGTATTAATAGATGCTCTTCTGTCTTCTTCCTTGATGATAAAAAAAGAAGGTGATTAAGCCGATCGTTTTGTTTGGGTCTGCGTGGAGGACTAATCTAGCAAAGCCAAGATGAAAGCCATGGGAACAGAGCCGTGCTTGGTGCCTGCATCCTGCTGCTTCCCTCTCACCCCGACCTGCTGCCAGGTTGCTTGCAATGGTGTAGTGTGGAGGAAGGAAGATGCTGATATTCCTCTCAAATTCCTCATAGAAATGTAATAAAAAGGAAAGGTTTAAACCCAGTGGTACTCTGCAGCTCTTGGTGACGCGAAAACCACGGCAGTTGTACCCTTACTGGAGCGATGTGGTATTTCTTTGTCCCTGGCTTGCTCCCAAGTCAGCTTTCCTACATCCACGGATATTCAGTTAATTCAGTTTACCATCTGTCTTCAAAGCTTTTCTCCTCTTTTCATTACTTGAATATATTTATTATATCCATAGTAGAGTGAAGACAAAAATCAAATCAATGTCTAGATTAGTCCAGAGCAGCAGAGAAAAATTGCTGTGCGCTGCCTTCCCCCCGCAAGCAAGCAGAGAAATCCAGAAACATTTCCTCTTTCCTTTTGATGGTATCTAGCAACTGTTCAAACAGGGAAGTAATAGAGAGACGGAGAATAAAAGCAACTAAATATATCCCATCAAATGACAGAGGTTTGCCTCCCCTGCAGCAGGAGCACTTCATGGGTTGGTCTGAGCAGCCCTGGGCATCCGCTGTTTCCCACACAAAGCGTGGCAGGAAACATTCCTTACCCTGAGACCTACATTTTGGGGCATCCTCAAGGACTCCTGTGTCACAGTGCAAGAACAGGATTTAGAAAAGGGACTGTAGGAAGTCTCTTGCAGCGCCACGTTAACCTTCTGCTTCCTTCGCAAGCACACACTGACAAATATTTGGGGATGTAGCGGTGGTGGTGGGGCAGAGCCTCCTCCTTGTGTCTCCACAGGTCCTGCTTGGCCAGCAGGAGCCAGGGGAGCACAGGGCTCCCCTCTGTGCTGAGTGGCAGGGCTGATGCAGGGACACAGTCACATGAGGTGAGGAGGGAAGAGAAGAGCAGGGAAGTCTCCGGGATTCCCTGTTTTCATTCAAGGGGAGAGGAGCAGGGGACTCAGCTGTAACCTCATCATGCTTCAGCCAAACCAGCCCAAGGCACAGCTCCCTGGGGCAGGGGTTGTTGTTGGGCTTGTTTGCTCTTACACCAAGCCAGGTAACAAAGCTCATCTGCACATTAGGAAATCTCTGTCTTTGTCCTTCTCGGCCTTACACCTTTATTTCACTGAGGTGAGCACTACAGACCCATCCTCAACTACTCAAAACCTTTGTAAAGACTCAAGAAATTCACTTAAAATAACCTAGAGTGCTGGGCTGGGCTGTGATGGCCACCCAAGAGCACCTCATTCAGCAAATCAGCACAGGCACCGCGTTTCCTTGGCAGCACGGAGCGGTGCCTACGGGATGGAGCCACCAGAAGACTGAGACCACGAGCAAGAGCAGCAGCCAGAAACATGCAGCTGAGCAAACGTGGCACTGCCGGGTCGGATAGAGCCCCCCTGTGCCAACAGGATCCATCTCCCTTAGGTGAGTTGTGCTGTGTCTGCCAGAGGCAATAGTGGCACATCTGTCTTCCAAGGACACCTATTCCGTAGATCACGTTAGGCTGAAGTCCCCACCCACACTAAAATCAAACGGGCAAGGAACTAAGGGAGGCCACGAGCCAGTGCAGTGCCTGAATGGACGAATGCTTTGGGACAGCAGGAGCCAAGAGGGAGATGCATTTGGATGCAGCAGAGCGAGCACTGAGACGGGAGGCACGGGGACGCGCTGGGATCGATGCCGCAGGGTGCGCACGGAGGCCTGGGAGCAGGTGCTGGCCCACGAGAGGCATCCCCAGCCCGCCCTCCTCTCCTCCTGTTGTCATAAACAAGCCTGCCCCAGCCGGTAATGGAGCTCAGAGCAGTCCCTGGGGCCCCAGGCCCAAAATACTGTAACAAACACTTGCCTGCAGCCTCCCAGCCAAGTCCTGCTTTCTGATTCACCCATCTAATTCCCTTCGGGCAAAATTAGCGCCGCATGAGTTTTGCTACAGCTCGGAAGCAGCTGATTCAAGCTGCTGATATAAGCAACTGTAAACCCACCGACTTTATGGGAGCTGCCAGGATATTTTCAAAGACAAAATGCAGGCCAGCAATACTGGGGTCCCTATTATTTTCAGGGTGAAACGTTCCTTTTCAGAGTCAGAAGCAGCAAGCAGACATGCACATAAACAATCGCTGTATGTTTTCCATTCTTGGTGCTACCCAGCAGAATATTTACCTAATAATGCGAAGATGCTGTCTTTAAAAATCATTTTCCCTTTTGTACTTCTTCCCCTTGGAAGTCTGCTTGTTTAGAGGAAAGCTGTTGGACAAAGGGGAAACAGCACGGGCATTGAACCTCACCTTCCTTTGGAAAAGGCACCGCTCCCGGATTCAAAGCACCCACACCTGAGCGAGTGCAGCAGACTGCTTAAAGCTGAACCCCTAAACACCTGCCAGAGAGCCTCCTATCTCAGACCTGCGGTCATTTTCTAACCCAGACACGCTTAGAAGCGCCGTGCCTGCCCACAGACAATGGGATTTGAACACAGCCCCCTGCCCAGCGGGTACAGCGCACGAGCACGCACACGCATCCACGAGCACACGGACACCGCCACGAGCACACGCACCCCTAGCAGCACACCCACGCACGCTGCCCTATTTCCCAGCCCCACTCCAAATAAATCACCGGACCGAGAACCCCTGGGACATAAATCTGGGGGCTACTCGGGGGATGGATGAAGCAGCGCGCCCGGCCGAGCCCCCACCGCGCATCCCCAGCCCCGGAGCCGCCCCCCTCCGCTCGCCGGCTGCCGCGAGGATGTCGCGATAGCCCGGCCCTGTCGCGATATAGCGGCGGGGGGGCACTCACCCAGCAGCAGGCAGCCGGAGCCGGCGGAGCCCAGCAGCGGGCCGAGCATGCCTGCGGCGCTCCCCGCTCCGCGCACTGCGGCGCGCTCACTGCGCAGCGCAGCCCGGCCCGGCGCGCTCCCCCGGCACAGGGCGGTATTTTTAGCAGCCCCCCTCCTTTTCCTTTTTCTCCTCCTCCTCTCCCCATCCCGGCGAGCCCTCCGGCTTCGTCTTGCCAGGGCCGGAGCATCCCTTCCTTCCCCTGAACGCGCAAAGAGGGCATCAGGGGAGGGGGAGAGGAAGGGGGGAAACTTTGCTCCGCCATGGCTGGTGCTTCCCCTTCCTGGTCCGAGGGAATCTCTGCTGCACAGGAGCGGTCCTGAAAGCCCTGCCCAGCTGAAATAGCGAAATACCTCCAGCTCCAGTGCCTAGGAGACGGATGAGCATCGCTTCCAGATATTTTAACGCCTTAAAACGCAGTGAATGGCTGTGCACAAAAGGAGATAAAACGCGCTAGTGATGGCAAATAACGTGAGGGGGGTGTGGGGAGACAGCAGATTTATGTTCTTAGGGATTCCACCTTTCCCCCAACAAGCTGGTAGCAGAAAATTAATCTGGGCTCCATGGTAAGAGAAAGGCTTTGCAGAAAAAAGGCTTTACATGGCTGTGCCAGCAGTGACTCCAATGTTACATCCCCTGGTAATCACAGCACCGGGGGGTAAAGTGGGTCAGGAATGGCACAGGGAAGGACGCACACCACAGCCTTGTTCTTCAGCCTTCTGAGCGAGTAACATGGCAGATCTGCAAGGCAGGCAGAACTGGCTCAAAGCTGTGATGTGCAGCTGCTTAACTCTTTGTGAGCATGGAGCAAGGTTCACCAAGGAAATCCCTGCATGTATGAGGAATTAACACTTGTTCAGCACTGATTATAGCTGTCCAGGGTATATGCTTCCTTAGAAAATAAAGACTTTTGGTTTTCTTTAAGGTGAAAATGAAGCTGACATAAATGAAGAATTTCCATTTGAAGGGAAAAAGACACTTTTCAAGTGTGGTTTCTGATTCACTGTGAAAAGGACTTTAAAAAAAATCCTGCATATGAAAGACTAAACTGATGTCACTTGCATTGGTGTCACTGCTGCCCACTCTTGCAACCTGTTAGGAAATTGCCACATCCAACTGCTCAAGTAAAGTGGGCTTCCGAGATCCTTGGTCTCAAAGCAAAAAGACATCATCAAGTGTGCTAACAAGTAATTGTGCAGCTATTGTGACTTCAGCCACACTTGGTGTCAAAATCAAACAAAACAGCTACGAAATTGTACTTGGAAAATCATCTCTGCTGCTATACAGTCTATTTTAATTAAGAGCTGTTGTCTAGCCTCTTGCTGATATCTTATTTCTAGATAAGGAAGAACATTTTCTACCCCACTTTGTATGTGCCTCCCTGCAACAAGTTTTGTGTGCTTGAAGACTGTCAGCAGATCTTGTTTTCCGCAAGCAACCAAAATCCCACAGCCACTATGTCTGAGAATGCCCAGACTTCCCCCAAACCACCAGTGCTATTTGCTGAGCCCTGCTTCTGGCTAATGGAAGTTTGCAGGAGCCCAGAAATGGCAATACTGGAGCTGATGGATAGGACAAGTTAAATCATCCTAATCACATGGGATCACTTGGCTTTTCAGGCAATGGATCTTTTTAAATAATATTTCTCTAGGGAAGTGGAGGGAGTAGCAGGAACTGGTTAAAGTCCACCAGCTCCCAGAACTCCGCTAAGCTTTACAGCAAAGATTGGCACATCCAGTTGTGCACTGAGTCCTGAAAACACCTTTCCTCCTCCTAGCAGAGAAGTGAAGATCACTGACACAGCAGCTACCACCTGGACCTCTGGGCACTCACAGGGTGTCTGCCTGTGCCCTGCAAGGAAGAGCTTTCCTGACCTCATCAGTTCCTGGAGCAGCTCCTCCGATCTCTATGTAGATTTTAAAAATTTGGTGACATCCTGTGTTTCACCACAAGCTTCCTGCCTCTGTGCATGTAAACCCTCTAATGCTTGACTTGTATTTTCTGCCTTTAGTAGATTTCTGCTTCTCTGTACACTAGACCCCAGGGCAAACTTAGCCCAACTGATCACAAGGTCCATCTGAGGTCATTTTCAGAAGTTGCTCACACCCCTGTAGCAGCCTATTTTGGTGCTCTCACTCATTGTGTCCCTCATTAGGATGATACCAATGGAGATTTTGTTTCTAGAGGTGTCAGTGACAGACACCTGTCATGATGCTGAAATTTTCCCCACTGAGGATCTTACTCAGAACTCATGAGTCACAGAAGTGTCCAAAATTGCTACAACACCAGAGCCATCTCTGCTGCAGGAGGCCATACCTTACACCACCAGGAGATTTAAACCAGTAACAGACCAACAACAATCTTCTTAATATCCACACCAGAGAAAAACATCAGAAAAGATCAGCCAGGGACTTTGCACTCACATTCCTTTCTAAGCTATGAGAAGTTCTCAAATTAATTCCCAGACCTGTCACTACCAGAAGATCCTTCTACTCTGTTCCATCACAGCTTGGTCTGGGTAGTAGGAAATATAAACTATGCCAAATCCTTGTGAATAAACAAATTCAAAGTGCTTCCTACTTCTTCACACAATTAGGTGCAATAACATTAGTCTAAAAGAGAAGATATATCATCAATTTCTTATTTCTTGATACTCTTCTATGCCCATTCAATAATCTGATGTAATTTAGTTGCCCCCAAGTAACATTAATACAAAAAAAAGCTTCTTAGAAAGTGTTCCATTCTGATAAATTTTGCTTTTAAAGATGTGTAATCTTTCGAGCTATAACTTGTTAAATTTCTATTTCAGGTTTTTCAATCTCTCCTCACCCCCAACCAGCTGGTAAACAGTTACTATGGCAGCACCTAATGCAGTGACTCAGCACTCCCCCACATCTCAGTATCAGCTGTCTGCCCTTCTGGTTTCTTATGATGGTAATCATGCCCTCTTTTCTGTCTCATTGCAGAATTATCAGATCATGTTGCCCTTGTATAATTCAACATCAGTTGAGGCAATCAATGCAAGAATCTGCTAAGTAAAGATGCTATTCAGGATGCTATTTCAGCTTTCCTTTTCTGTTGATTCAAAAGATGTTTGATGGTATTCCAATCATGTCTCAGTGTTTCTCTGGAGCTTTATATTACCCCTTGCCAAGCAAGCTAGTCTAATATCAAACCATTACATGCCCTGCTCCAAAATGTCCCAAGCCTGTTCAGTGAGCAGAAACTCCCTCTTCTTTTGTTGCTGTTCAGAGCTCCTTGCTTTCTGTTCCTGGGCAGGGATATTTTTTTTTCCCCTTCATTTACCTTGCCTTGCAAGTTGGTTTGATGCCTTGAGTTTTCACCTTGATCCTTCATCTGGTGTTTAGTTGTGAACTGGTTGGCCAGTTCACATTATTACCAGCAGGGCTACTGCTCACATGAAGGGAGAAACCACAAATTTTAATCTATACCTTAAAGCAAATTGTGGAGAAGAGGAATCCACAACATCACCCAATTTGCCATATCTAAAAGCATGAGAAGGCTTTTGTGAGTCAATTCAGAAACAAGTAATTTTGATAACAGAGGAACCCAAAGAGCCTGTAGCTTTCCATCTTATGATTACCTTGTCCCAGAGCTAGAAAAGTGTGAACCACTTGTTCAGGTCTTTTTCTTGAAGTTGAGATATTTGCTTTACCCCCACCTGCTAGCAGTGATACAGGCGAGTCTCCATCAGCTGGCTCAGGACCTCATCCAAGCCCATTTCTTGGCTTCCACTTTCCAGAACTACACCTCACAGACTTTCTGGAAAAAAATAATACACGTACCTGTGGGAAGAGCTACAGCACTTTCCTGCTGGGCTCGCTGAATCGCCGCCAGCTTGGGCTCCCCCCGCAGCTCAGGAGCCGCCCCCCGGCTCTGCAGCACCACGGACAGCGGCGGCGCCCGGCCCCGCGCCCACCCCGGGGCCCCGGCCCTGGGCTCGGCTCTGCCCTGCTCCGCTCCCCCTGCTCCTGGGCCCGGCTCTTCTCAATCAGCCTTCCTTTCCACCTGGGGAAGAGAGTAGGGTTGAGTCCCTGCGCTATTTACCCGCGGTCACCTCGTACGGAGGGATTTGGGGAGAGCTGGGGAGCAGCACGGTGTTGGGGTGGGCTGATGATGTGTTTGCTACGGGCACAGCACACAGATCTGTGCTGGTTGGCAGCCCAAATCAAGAAGAAGTGATGGGATTGACAGTGTAGTAAATCGGCTTTGCATACCATAGCCAAAAGAACAGTACAAAGCATTGCTAAAATCCATATAGCCATGCTGTTTGTTGCCAGCTCCCCTTATTTTTGTGACTTTGAAGATTTAAGAAAGGTATTTTGGCTAGATGAAGAGGTAAGATCAGCCCCTTGAACTCAAGTGTAAGTCATCCCCCAAGTCAAACAGAACAAAGGCTTCCTCTACACACTACATTGATACCCAACACATCCTAAAGTTTTGTATTACCAATTTTGGTTGAAAACTTTTGGATTTGTTGACAGCTGTTATTTCAGGTATGATGTACACTAATAGCAGCAGTTTTATTGGCAAGAGAAGACTTACTGTTTGAATACAGCGGGGTCAGCTGCTCCCTACAAGCCAGGAACCACGCTCAATGCAGAAGAAAGGCAGGGGCCTCAGCAGCCACGGTGCAGTCTCTTGGTACCCAAGCACAGCAAGCAGGGCTGGGGATGGCAGCCCAGCACCAAGCCCATCAGTAACTGTGCAGTGATGCAGCAGGTCTGAGGCAAGTCAGGAAGTCCATCCACAGGTTAGGGTCCAAATCACCAGGGTGCATGGTCAGGGAGAGGCATGGCTGCAGCTGAGCTGGAGAACAGCACTTCTGCAACACCAGCAAAAATGTGAAGACCCCAAGGCTGAGCTTAAATGGGCTGGGTCCATGGGCAGGGTGTGGGCAGAGGTCCAGCTGAGGCTGGTCAGAGCCATCAAAGCCTGTTAGTGCCCCTGCAGCTCTGACAGGTGCAAACTTTCTGCAGAAAAAAAAAAAAATAAAGTTGTTTCTTAACCTTGTAGCTCTACTTGGTATAATGAGGGTCCCACCTGATGTAGGAACAGTGTTAATAAACTGACTTTTATCTGATAAGCTTTCACAGTAAAGACATTTAGTTTGGTAAATGCACATATGCACATAAATCGTAATTCTTGGACTCTGAAGCAATTTACAAAGGGAGAATTTCTAATATCTCTCCTTAATTTCATTTTCTTTAACCTATGCACAAGTGTTAGCTGAGATGAATGATGTAGTGACAAAAATCTTCCTGGCTGCAAGAAAAGGCTGGAGACAAAACCATTATTTAACTATTCACAGGAAAAGTCAGTGGACTGCCTATGCAAATGAAGAAAAATAGATTGTTTCATTCTGAGGACACAAAAACACCAGCAGGTATCAGACTAGAAGTGATGCAATGCCCTCCTTTATTGATTTGTTTCTGTTCGCGTGCCTTCATTATCATGAACTCTCTGAGCTACTCCTGGTAGGGTTATGCAAGGAGAGAGCGGATGCCCGTTCAGAGGGCTCCAGCTACAAAAACAAAGTCAGAACTTACAAGAGCTTTTTGAGAACAATGCATTCTAGCCCTGCTCTTCCTACATTACAGTGAGAAATGAGAAAACAAGTGGTACTGTTGTGGGTTTTCCGGAACAAATTAAGGTATCAGAGTTGGACAGAACAGTTGTTTAATCTCGTAACCCTTCATGCTGCAATCACATAAGGCAAAAAGGAGATATTTAGCTTAACTTCTTCTGGCTTAGAGGACACACTTACAGCCTGAATCCAGAAGACTCCTGCCAATGAACAGGAGCACACTTTTATCTCACTGAGGCTGGTCAGTAAAGGTTAATTCTCTTGAGGCAAATTATGTTACACCTCTATCTGGCAGTAAAGCATCAACTCCCTTGTATAAATAGAAACATACACTGCAATGACCTTTGTGCCTCTGTTAGATTAATTCTCCTTGGGTTTGGATAATGGAGAAACACAGATATGGTGATTTGGGTTGTGGCTAATGGGTCGCACCTCTTGAGTAAAGAAATGACAAAGCTAATGCCTTAGCCCATGTGAAAGTGCCACCTTCTGACAGTATTGTAACTCAAATTGGAGTTTTGAAGAATAATATTTACCTATTTATTTATTTATTTTGTCACAGGTTTAAGGTGAAGGATTCATAGGAGCAGAACAATTTTATTCTGTTAAATTACCCTTGCTTCTCTTTCTCTTCTTCATCAGGCCGTGGAGGAATCTCAAGAGGAGGGTGAACAGGGAGCTGAGGCAGATCTGTTGACACCAGTGTTTGCAGCACTGTGCAGGCAATGAGGTTGTGCTGTGACTGTAAAGTGACAGGTCATATACGCTGGTGACTCGATGAAGTGTCGATCGTATTATTTAAAAAGCAACCAGGCTCCTTTTATGCTGTAAATGTTACACAGAGAAGCAAAGCACTTCACTTCCCCAGCCTAGGCAAGCACAGAGATCCCTCATGGCTGAATTTTGCTGTTGATCAATGATGTGACCTTGCCAGCAGCAGCAGGCTGGCAGAGCGTGCCAGCGATCTTTCTGCTTTGTTTTCTCCTGTAGTAATCCTTTTTGCCCCTCTATTTTTGAGTAAGCTGCCATCTGCTGTCAGAGCTCAAGCAGCCACACAGTGCTGGGGACTGAGCCAATGCCAGCAAAAGCAGCAGAAGTCAACGAGCAGCAGAAACATCCCATTGAAGGTGCAGGTTGAAATGCTTTTTGTATGACTTCTTATTACTATTTCTTTCATACATTTATTCATGATTTAATATATTTAGGTTGTACTGAAATGGAGCATCTTTTAAACAAGAGCCCACAGCATTTTCATTGCAGACAATGAGATATTTACTGTTTTTTTTTTGTGCTGTTTCTCCACTTGCTATGAGTGACTGCCAGCCGTTTATTTATGTTGGTTTAATTAGAAGATAGAAAGGATAGGTCACATAAGTTTTGTAACAACAAGGTTAAGAATTTAGAAACCTGTTCAAAATTGAAGATAAATGAGATGTGAATATCAAGGCTGAGTCTGAACTTGGTGGTCACTCTAGAAGCACTGTAAGAGCATCAGTGTGGAGTCCGGTGGTGCCACCTGGAAAGAACAGATCAGTGTTAGCAACATAACAGCAAAAATGGCTGTGAAATCTTTCATTACTGATGGAATGAAAGAATATATCTTGCAGTGGAATAAATTCCACCGTATGGTCTAACAATGTAAACGTAAACAGAAATGAATCCTTATCTGAATGCATGGATGGAGAACTGAACGTGTAAAATAGAACATAAACAAAATCAAAAGAATAAAGTGTTTGCCTGACGTCAGTCAAAATAAAGGGAAAATGTCATTGTATGATATAATTACTTCAGAAGAACTACTCACAGCAGCATGTGTCATCAGCAGGACTAAAAGCCAGAATTAACAGTACAAAGGACTGGCATTGTGTAATGTCATCTGGATGTAATTTCAGAAAGCATGCAGTGATATCAAATACTCTCTGAAGCTGAGTAGGAAATGTTCTAGGATGATTTTGCTATGTTCGAATCACAGAATCATCCAGGTTGAAAAAGATCTTCAAGGCCAAGTCTAGCCATCTAAGTGATGATGAGTGGCTGGGGAAGCACAGGAATCTCAGTGTTGGTAAGCACAGACATGGGCGTGGAAACACAGCATCACTAAAACCAGCAAGGGGCTCTACATGAGTCTTACTCTGCCCAGGATCTCAGAAAGAAAAACTATGCTTAGGTTCAAAATATTGTTAAATTTACAGAAAATAACATTATTTGCGGCATTAAATACAACAATCAGATGTAACATTTGTCTCGGAGTTTTCTTATATCACCAAGGGCCATCTGTCAGGAAGACATCACAAGGAAAGATCTTTCTGTGTACTCCGTATCTCACACCTTTTCCTTAAATATCCACTGCTGCTCGTAGCACACTGGGTCATGACAGACCTTTGATCTGCCTGATTCATCTTGTTTTTTATGTTCTTTGGTAAAGTTAGTATGTTCTTTAGTAGTAGCTCAAAAAGCTGAGGGCCATCTCATGCTCATTAATTACATTTAGACGTTCATATTGAATGACATGTAAGAAGCTATTGCATTTACTATATACAGCAGATGAATAATTCACTTCATTAATGACCTCAGGAATATTTCTATTGACCTGATCTTTTTATACCCAACAGGAGAGATGGTAACTCAAGTAATTTCACTGCTGCTAAGGCAACAGAAACAAAGGATGGTGCTGCCAGACAGCCAAATGCCCATAGCGTAGTTAAAACCACACAGAAATTCAGAGTGGTCAGTGAGCCAGTTAGATGTGAGCCAAGAGCCCATCATCAAGTAATTTAAAAATGAAACAGCTATTTTGTGGAGGGCTCCAAAATGCATGGTCACATTTCTGAAACCTGTCTTTCCACCCGCAAATCTGTAAGCACAAATGCAGTGATGCTCTCTGTGAAAGCAAAGTTGCAGGCACTCACATGTTGCTTGTGTCAGGTTTAGTATAACTCATAATTTTAGAAAGTGTCTCGGGTTATACCTCCCAAACTGGAGAACGCTGCAGAAGCAGTAGTTATCATTCCTGAAAACCATGGGCTCAGAGAGCAGAAACACGAAGAGACTTTG